CAGCCGGATGACCACGCACACACCCACGCCCAAGTGGCTGTTGGAACAGAGTTCTTTTCAGGTGGGGAGAGGGAGTAGAACGTCTAACTCCTTAGGATCAGAGCGTGTTAATAATAATATAAGAAATATAAATGATCTGATGGTCATTTTGAAAAATATTTTCTTAGTGAGCACCTAGAAGCCAAGAGGAACATATGTACCAAATTTCAAATTTATAGGCTTTACAGTTCTGGAGATTTTGTGATGATGCGTAAGACTTCACGACTTCTGAAGGTAGCTCATTCCACTGATTAATTGTCCTGTTAGAAAATTTTCTCTTTTCTTCTAGACCAGTGATGGCTAACCTTTTCAGGGCCAAATTCCCAAAGTGCACACATGTGTGAATGCATGTGTGTACCCAAATCTCCAAAACGCTATATGTGTGCATCCCCCTTGCATGTGCCTTGTCCCATGCATGCACCTACCCCGTGCATGCTCCCTCTTCCCTCTGCACACCCCGTCCCCTGCGCATGTGCGGCAAAGACCCGAAGACCAACTGGCCAGTGGAAGATTCTTGCGCATGCACAGCAGAGCTGAACTCGAGTGACGGCTCCCATGCCATCACAGAGGGCGCGGCGTGCCACCACTGGCACACATTCCATAGGTTCGCCATCACGATTCTAGACCTTAGTATCCATATTGAGGGTATCCCAAAATAATTCTACCTTACTTACTGAATGAAATTCCTAACCTCATAAAATGTTTCTAACAATACCAATTAAATTAAAATATTGCTATTTTTGAGATGGATTGTAGTTAAGGAATATCCCTACCAAAATCTTCCCCAAGTTTGTTAATAAACAAGCATTACATTAAATTTCCTAATTTAATTTCAGTGAAGTCATTGACCTCAAGGGCTTTGGATGCAACTCATTTATTCAATCTTTCCTACAAGTGTTTTGTCTTTTTTTATCTGTAGGAAGCAACACAACAATTGTCTTTACCGAGAAGGTTTTCTGGAGCTTGGTGGAATTCCAGTTCCTCGTTGTTCAACATGATGTTTCTAGGTAAATCGGCCAAAATCAAATCGGGAGCAATCTGAGCTATTGGAACAGTAGACTTTGGTTGATTTGGATTTATTAAGAGGTCACCTTGACGGAGAAAGAAGAATAGAAGTGTAACTGATTAAACGGAAAGATAAACTAATACTGTAGAACCTCTATTTTCTAAATCACTGATACATAAAACCAAACTTCCAAAAATGCGAGGGGGCGCGCACAATAGTGCTTACGCGTGCCGACGCCCGCAGAGTGCGCCCCCACATGAGCATGCACACTCCTCCCCCATGCACGCCACACTACTCGCGTCCAAGCTGAGCTTGGTATTTCCTCCGGGGGGGCTGGGGGAGGCAAAAATAGCTTCCCCCGGCCCTCCAGCAGAAAGCCAAGAATCAGCGGGCTGGTGTATTCATGTGCGCTGGAGCTGACGGCTCAGGCGCCAGGATATATGGCTCCGTGTGCGACCTGTGGCATGCGTGGCACAGGTTGGCCATCATGGCTATAAACCGAGAAAGTATTTCGGAACGGCTTGCTCGAAATACCGTAACAAACCTACCTTCCTCTGCCTTTTTAAGTAGGTCGTCAAGCAATATTTTCTGACGTTCCTCTCCATCCTCAAAGCTGTACAAAGCCCATTTTTTCAACAGTGTTTCTCCTTCGCCACAAATGTCTACTTCCAATAAACCCGGGAACCATTCCTCCATAAGAGAATCAATGTGGTCTACAACTTGCCCCAAAATGATGCAACCTTCAGAAAGCCGGGGGGGGGGGGGAAGGAAAGAGGATTAAAAATTGTGGTTTGCTGGATCTCCGATTAGAAATACGCTACGAGATTTTCCGCTGAGCAAAACCAACAACGTGTTTGTCGACCCGGCTCCTCAAACACGACAAACCCTCTGAAGTGAACGCAAAGTTTCCTTTATTAGGAGCGCCGGCAAAAAGTTTCTCTTGCAGGCAAACAAGTCCATCTGGCCAGAAGATGAGTAGCTGCCTGTCACATCTATTCATCTCTGCCCCCCGCCTTTTATCCTCAGAGCTAGGGTGGGGCTTTGTTAGCAGCGGTGGCTCTTCCTTCCCAAGGACCAGCCCATAGATTTCCATTGCTCTCCTCTCCTCTGCCACATCTATTCATCTCTGCCCCCTGCCTCTTATCCCCAGAGCTAGAGTGGGGCTTCGCTAGCAGCGGTGGCTCTTCCTTCCCAAGGACCAGCCCATAGATTTCCATTGCTCTCCACTCCTCTGCCACATCTATTCATCTCTGCCCCCTGCCTCTTATCCCCAGAGCTAGAGTGGGGCTTCGCTAGCAGCGGTGGCTCTTCCTTCCCAAGGACCAGCCCATAGATTTCCATTGCTCTCCACTCCTCTGCCACATCTATTCATCTCTGCCCCCTGCCTCTTATCCCCAGAGCTAGAGTGGGGCTTCGCTAGCAGCGGTGGCTCTTCCTTCCCACGCCCGGCCCATAGATTTCCACTGTTCTCCTCTCCTCTGCCACATCTATTCATCTCCGCCCCCTGCCTTTTATCCCCAGAGCTAGAGTGGGGCTTCGCTAGCAACGGTGGCTCTTCCGTCCCACGCCCGGCCCATAGATTTCCACTGTTCTCCTCTCCTCTGCCACATCTATTCATCTCCGCCCCCTGCCTTTT